TCTCGCTAACTAAGACAAGTGTAAGAAAGAGACCTTGATTAAAAGCAGCAACAATTAATGCCCTACACGTAAATAACAATGAATCTTACCTGCGCAGCGTTTCTTGGCAATGCGGGATGCAAAACTACAACAAATATTTTTGCACCACCTTCGACTGTTCGGCTGTTGCTGACTGATGCCTGAATATAGTTAGCTGCGATTGTAATAGTCAGTGCTGTCAAACAGATACTCTAGTTTTCCCTAGACACCATACAAATTTGACATTTGTTAAAATAAAATGTCTATTGGTAGTTTTAGTTAATTTTCGTGTTTGGGCAAAGACACCCAAGGGCAAAGTTGTAAGGTTTCACGGTACATAAATTATTTTTAACCTTTAAAGTAATGTAGTACTGAGTAGTTCTTTACGGATTTGCTTTATAAAGCTATCTATATATCTTCAAACTGATCTCCAATCATTATATTCCGTTATAGCCTATAACAATATTATATAATATAATAAATAACCCACTGCCGAATCGTTGGCCTTCCCAATAGATTACCTCATAGGTATGACGTTACCATAGTGGCTACGCCTGGCGGATGGGTTGGCAAATGCAAAATTATGTAATTTTGAGATGTTATTACGAAGATGCTGCTGCCCATGTCCTGTTTCAATTTTCCCTCTTGCGTCTCTTATGAGAGCAACGACACGTCATGTGATAGTGGATGTTCTTACATCGCCACTACTGGTGTCTGTCGTATATAATATCTTTAGATTTTAGATCAGTTATAATATCAATAGCTGATCTAAATGTTGTGATTCAATTATTTATTTAAAAAATAAATACATTGTGTGTTAGTAAATTTGGAATTGAATCTCAACTTTTTGTACATTATTATATCTATACTCAATTGAACGTTAAATTCAAGAAAATCTCATTACTTAAGGTTTTAAGAACGAAACTCTCAGTGTAAATACAGGTTTGTTATGCACCCTTTGATTCGTACATAAATTCAAAAAGTTGTGAAGCTAAAAGGAGTTGGCGTACAAAAAAGAAGCATGAGCTAAATTGAATAAGCCTTTCATGTTTGTATAATACATACAAAAATGTTGATTCTTTTTTCTCGTCGATTATTTTTTAATACCATGAGTAACCAGGTTACACGTGGTATTTTTAATACTCTTGTTTAATGTAATGAATAATTTTTTTTACTGTGGTACGTTGAAAAAGGTAATAACATTCATAAAACTTATTTAAGGATAAATATGTCATCTCAAAGTCTAATAATTATAAGAAGAATAGTAATATTCCTGTAGTCGTCTCTGCGAATGGGCTAATCCCGGTCATCCTCGCGGGTCATCTGAGGCGACTGGGACTCCGTTGCGGACCGCTCCGGGCTCAAATGCAGAAGGCGGTGCACCTTGATACCGCCTGCATTGTCCGCCGGTTTCTTTCCCTTTACTCCTAACCCTCGGCCGTTTGGTCTCCCCCTACAAAAGGCTTCCATCTGGTTGGGCTTTTATTTATTTATGTATTTATCATTTCATTTTCATTTATAATTATATATTTATAGAATCCAACCAGATGAGAAAACTATATACATGCCCCAAATAATAATAATAATAATACAAGATTGACTGTACAGTTAGAGACTTCCTCGAGAAGTGTATAGGGCAGTGGAGTACCCCTTAGAGTTGCTAACTCTAATGGCATAGATTTATCTATGCCCGTCAACTTAAGGACCCTTTCCGAGGCTGAAGCGTACCGATATCTGGGTATGTCACAGAACATTAGTATCGATCAGGTGGTATGAAACAGTCAGTTTGCGACGTTTTTTATGCACGCTTGACCAAATTGCTTAACAGCCTTTTGTCCGGTGCGAAAAAGACACACGCATATAATAGTTGGGTTATGCCTGTCCTCATGTATACCTTTGGCATACTCAGGTGGACTCAGATTGAACTTACGCCCTGAATAGAAAAGTCCACACTACCATGACGTCCCATAGGATGCATCATCCGAGGTCGTCGGTAATGAGGCTGTACTTGCCGCGAAAAGTGGGCGTGGCTTTCTGAGCACCATGCATAATCGCGAAGTGTGTAGCCTCGCTCATTACTTCTTGGTGAGATCGGATGATCCATTCTATAATGAAGTCATTTCTAGTGATAAAGGGCTTACCCCTCTATCCTTAGCCAACGAGTAATGGCTGGACCCAGCAGTACATAGCATTTCTGACCGGGAGACCTTATTGAAGGAGAAGGAGTTCCATGGGAGGTACTACAGGGCTTTACATGAGCCTTTCGTAGATACAGCCGCCTCACTCAACTGGCTACGTTTCAGTGACCTCTTCGGGGAAACCGAGGGTTTTGTCTGTGTAATACAGGATCAGGTTATTAAGACCCACAATTGTCGGAGATACATCCTAAAGGATGGCACCGTCGACGTCTGTCGAGCTTGTCGCCATCCCGGTGAGTGAGTTACTTAGGCATGTCATCTTTGGTTGTTCGGCGCTTTCTAACTCCGAGTACTTGCACAGGCACAATTTGGTAGCCAAAATTCTACACCAGGAGCTCGCTCTGAAAAACGGTCTCGTGGACTCGAAATTTCCGTATTACAATTACTTGCTGAAAGCCGTGCTCGTAAATGACCGCGCCAGGCTTTACTGGGACCAGGCTATTATCACAGATAGAACTATTCTTGCGAATAAGCCTGATATTGTGCCGATGTACCGGGCACAGTCAAGGATAATTTTTCGTCGGCATTACCATTCCGTTTGACAAGAACCTCGTGCAAACAAAATATGGACCTGGACATGGACCTGGCTCACGAGGTGACCGACATGTGGGGTGGTCTACTGACCGAAATTATTCCTGTAGTCGTTTCTTCAAACGGGTTAATACCAGTCTGCCTTTCGAGTCATCTGAGGCGGCTGGGGCTCCGTAACGGACTGCTCCAGGCTCAAATGCAGAAGGCGGTGCTCCTCGATACCGCCCGCATCGTCCGCCGGTTTCTTTCCCTTTCCCCCTTACCCTCGGCCGTTTGGTCTCCCCTGCCGAGAGCCTCCATCTGGTTGGGCATTTATTTATTTATGTATTATTTATTTATGTTAGTATGTTAAATATATATTTACGTATATTTATCATTTCCTTTTATATATTTATTCAGCTCAACCAGATGAGAATACTCTATTACTAATAATAATGCCCATAATTAATAATAATAGATGAATATTGCCGACTACTTATTTTATTTAGCTAATATTCTCTACTTATATTAGTAAATAAAATATAATAAAATGGTGAAATTGTGGGTTGTTTTAACTAGTTTTTGTAAAATGAATTAAATGTTTTCAAGTGTGTCCCAGCTGAAATGCACCGTTAACATTATTTGCTTTTTTATTTATTTTTTATTTTATAAGCGCAGAACTGACACTGACTGAAACCGACTGACACAAACTAAAACGCTGATCCGTATCATCGCTGTATTTTTTTCTTGATCGGATGTAGGATCAGATTTTGCCAACATCGTTCTTTGTTTGTTGCTCGTGAGATTGATTTTGCTGCTAGTACGACCCCTAACACCTATGTTTTAACTTCTTCAAAAAAGGAGAAAGTTCTATCCTAAGAATATGTTTTAAAGAAGGTTCACCGATTTCATAGTTAAATATGAGGACATTTTAGTTATTATCATGAGTTTGTGATATTGCTTAGTGTACTCAAAAGGGTAAAAAGACTTTTTATGTAAAAAACCTACTTAATAGCTAAACAAAATATAATAATATCCACATAATAGGAGTCAGGACTTCTTATTGCTTATTCTACGACACGCTAAGTATGAATTGACACCGTCTCCGCAGTCGAAGCTATTCTGTGGGAATTATTTTATGTTTCCTTTTAAGTTTTTAAAATTATTTTTAATTTTTTATTAAATGTTTAATGTTCTTTTACGTCTTGTTTTAAATATAATAGTGTGTAGAATATCACTTAATGTACTTTATATCAAGAATATGAAAAAAAGTGATACTTTTACTATTACAGAAATATTTAAATATGGAACGCTCATATACAGAAACGAAATTTGATAGCACTGATGTGAGTTTCTTTTGAAAAAACAAACACGAGAATATATTTTTAAAGAGTTTTTAATCACACCTTCCGATTCCTTAAAACATTTTTTTTAATTGTACCGTAATATGTGAAGCGTATTGAAATACCGCACGAGAAAAAGCGAGAAAGTTACAAGTGGTAAAATAAAAAATTTTGTATAACCGACTTCAACATAAATAGAATAAGGACATCATGTTTTCGAAGTCAATTAGAAACGCATTATTAAGAATAACTCAAAAACTATTGGTCAGATCTTGATCAAATTTATATGGAACCATACGTGAAGAATTATCAAAATCGGTTCACCCAGAAAATAGTTCTGAGGTAACACACATAAAAAAACATACAGTCGAATTGAATACTTCCTCTTTTTTGAAGTCGGTTGCACATATTTAAGAAGCAGGGGGTATTAGATAATTTACCTGGGTGGCATAACTAGATTATTCTCGTGGCATAACTGCATCATGAGCATACTCTCAACGGAGAACTGTATCTTCCACCATATATGTGTTTCAGGGCCACCCGTGGAAGTGGGGGTTACCATGTACGTGCTCTCCATCAGCTCTCTGTCTGAAGTGAAAATGGTATCTTATTTTCAAAGCAATATCAAAGACACAGCGCATACATAGCAAAATTTTGTCCCTTAGTGCAATCACCAGCATTTTACCGTTCATTGTAGCACCCGTGTCCACGGTTCGATCGCAACTTTAGTAACTGGCTCGATATAACTGTAGTTAATGGGTGGTCACGTTGTTAATGATTTGCGTGGATGCGCGAGTGGTGCGTTAGATGAATGTACTTGTCGCGCCTTACAACCGCCCAACCGTTCGCAACCTGCACGCACCCTGCGCCCTTCGTGCCCCTAATAGTACTGTCCGGGGATGGGAAACGTCACCATCCTCTGGTTTGGTTTTCACGGCGCGAGGCGCGTGCGCGACTCACGATTGGGCTTGATTGCAGGTCCGCCAGTGGAGGTGGGCGTCACCATGTATGTGCTCTCTATCAGCTCCGTCTCCGAAGTGCTCATGGTACTCGCCACTATCAGCTCACGCTTGTCTCGGTCACTTCGGCATCCGCCGCCGCGACCGAGCAGCCCCAGATACGAGGCTGCGAGCATGTCCGCGTTTGGTGGAGCAAAACGCCCTATTGTCCGCGCACTTGCTTTCTTACTATGTGTCTTTAATACCACAAACTGGTCAAGTAAAATAAACTTAGGATTTCATAATAAGAAAAGCAATACGTTATATTCATAACCGTTGTCAACTTGTGTGTTTAGCAGTACTCGTAACTCCAAAGAAGGATCCGCTAGTAATAGGTTAAAGGTGATACTTTCTGTTTAGTTAACATTTAAATTACAATTTGTATTAAAGTACCTTATAGTAAAAGTACTTTCAAGTAGTAAACAGATGGTCATCACTACTTCTAAAACTGGTTAGAATTAAAAAATAACTAATTAAATCAATATTATTTATAAAAAAAGTCAAATAGTTTGTTATAAATATACCGTGTAAATAAATTATTCCAAGTTCTATGGATTTGCGATGACTGTACTGTTTTAATCGTGAATCATTTCGTAGTTTGTTGTGTTTGTACGTATTTGTGTTCTTAATAAAATATTGCCAATATTTTAAATTTTTGCGCTCTCCAATAACTTGGAACACCGGCTTAAACAATTGTTATATAATTCAAATCAGTTAATAAAAATAATCGCATATTAATATAGTTCTTAAGAATTTGTATATTTAACTCAGAAGCTAGTTAGTTCCCTTACGTTTTAACCTACCTTTAAAATCCGGTCTTCCAAAGTATATTCTATATGAGCAGCTAGACGTTTGGGTAAAGGACCCCGCTGTGGAAACCAAATCAAGGTTGGGAAGGTCACAATAAGACGTGACCCATAACCCATGAGGATGTTTGCCAATTTCTGACGTCATCAAATTGCGATCGGGAGCAATCATTAATAAATGATATTTTTTCCACAAACCTGATCCAAACTTATTCGTGGCAACTTGTATACGTATCGGCTTGTTAGCTTGATTAAGAAAGGTTTGCCTTTATCGAGCCGTGGGTGCCCGCCTGCGTCGCAATCCTCTTACATTTCCCTATCCCATCACCAAAGCACATTTCCCGTTCATTCTTAGAATCCACCTATATAAGTAGTATTTCCGCCATAATCACACACTGCACATTTTTCTTTTAGTAAACATTTCACGCTTACAATTCAATTTGTCTATTAAAAGTAGAAATTGACTTTTTATATTAAATCAGCATTAAGATAAAATAAACCATTGGCACTTTACTTATTTAATTTTAACCGATATAATAACCGCTCACATTGATAACTCACTATAAGGCTATAAGTATTTGGCAACAAATTGCCATTTTCAATCCCAGCATGCTTAAATATATTAGATGTAAACGCCTTGGTGTTGAATATATACGTCAAGTATTTCTATTAATATTAATTTTGTTTATTGAATCAAAATTTTAAACATAGGTCCTACTGTTCAGGTCGAAAATCAAGTGCAAAACAAAATATTTTAGTGGGACCTCTGTTACATTTGCTAAAAATCTGAGACGTGTATTCCTTTTTTGAATTATAAAGATAAAGACCAAATGGCACAATAAGAATTTTTTTCCTCCTCAGGACTTCACGTTGGATTTTTACTTCAGACAGTTTTGGACTGACCCACGATTGGCTTACAAGAAAAGACCCGGTGTAGAAACTCTATCAGTTGGCTCTGAATTCATTAAAAATATCTGGGTACCTGATACATTCTTTGTTAATGAAAAACAATCTTATTTTCACATAGCAACGACCAGCAATGAATTTATTCGAATACACCATTCTGGTTCCATAACACGAAGTATAAGGTATATTACCATAAAATCGGCTTCATTTAAATTGTCGTAAAAGCTATCTATTTCTTAAATATTTTTTATGATGATTACAGATTAACAATCACAGCTTCATGCCCAATGAATCTTCAATATTTTCCAATGGACAGACAACTGTGTCATATAGAAATCGAGAGTTGTAAGTATCTTCCTATAGGTTTAATTTGAATAATCGAAACTTATTGATTGTTCGAAAATCATAATAAGTGTCACTTTGTAAATTAATGTGAACAATACTCACAAAAAATAATAAATATGTACAATTGTTATAGTAATCATATTTATAATATTTTATGTTACAACTAAAAACTCAGGAAATTTAACAAAGGCACGCTTTATATTTCATATATATATATTATATATCGTGCAACCCTTATTTATCGATATTATATAAATAATGCCTTATAAATTTATAATATTTTATACGAGGCAAATATGTTAATTTATTTATGATGATAGAAAAATAATTAATGGTTTTTAATGTGTGCTCACTCAACGCAACTGTTGACGCAAACTTACCACTATGCAATTTATCACTAGGCTTACCAACATTGTGTTGGGATCACTTTCTTGTATCACAGATGCTACTCAGGGACATCCTGTGAGCACATGCGTACAATGTAAAGGTCAACACGTGCTGTGATATCCCTTGTGTTCTCATAAATTGGAACGTCTCCTTCTCGCATACAGCACCCGCAGAAGGCAGACACGTTATAGTAAGCCTTTTTCCTCACAAGCATTAAACGAAAAAAATGATTTTGCGACATCGATGCTGTAATAGCTGAGCGGGCCGGAGGAGGCGGGGTTTGGAGGCACCCGCGGGGTCTGCACAATCACGGATGGCCGTGCCGCTGACGGAGTGCACTGCACGCGGCCGATTCACACCCTTTCACCCTGCGTAATCACTGCTGCTTAGCTCCTCACTGCATACTAATTAATTGCACTTGCATGTATACTAAGCTGCTTTAAAGTTTGACTTAGATTTATGAGTTAGTCTATCCTGTTAAATATTACAATTTTAATCTAGAAATTAATTAACACAAATTATTTTGCTATTTGTTTCTCTGAAGTAGGTAGAACGAGTAGATTTATATTTTTCTATCATCCACTTTGAGCAGATCAGAGATAAACGACCTAAATTTGGTCGCTTCTCAATTCCGCTCGTTTTGTCTCGCCCGCGACTCCCATCACCGCCGCAGCTGCGCGAGCGAGGGATGCGCGGTGCTTCTCAGCGTAAGTGATAGCGTTTTGTGTGTTTGGCATGTCTCCGGAGTCGGGTACACAATGAGAGATATTCGATACCATTGGAAAGACGGACTATCAAGCGTCGGCATGAGTAATGAAGTGCAACTGCCACAGTTCAGAGTCCTCGGCCATCGCCAACGAGCTACAGTTGTAACACTTACGACAGGTAATGATTCGCAACGCCCGCTATCCTAGCACAATCCATTTATTACTCCGCCACCGACCCCGTCTCCCTCAGCCCGTGTGCAGATGATAGATACCGCGACACTAGCACACACGCTAAAAATAACACAAAAAACGCACGAAAAGGACGAACGATAAGCGAACTCGCGATATCCTGCTCTCACCCTGACCAAATGAAGACTCGAGTCACAAAACCCATTGCGATGGGCCTGGGGTAATTTCATTTATATATCCGCTGCGCACAGTCGGCTACACCATGCGGGACATCCGATACAAATGGAACGAGGGGCCCAACTCAGTGGGTGTATCAAACGAAGTATCGCTACCACAGTTCAAGGTGCTTGGCCATCGACAACGAGACATGGAGATCTCCCTCACAACAGGTACTTAAAATAGAGGGATTTAAATTATTGGGTAAATATTTAATAAGTTTTGCTAATACGTGAAACACTGGATTAAAACAGTCACGATTCTTTCACATCCTGCTTTTGTACTTATGCACAAAACACTGAGTGGTGTATAAAAATGATTGCAGTAAGTTGTATAATTTCGGAATTTAGATCCATTCACAATTTTGAAATAAGTTATAAATTACAAATAAACTTAGTTAACTATTATTGTTTAATGACTATTAGCAAAAGTACCTATATTATAAACATATATTAACAATCTTTCCAGGAAATTATTCAAGATTAGCATGTGAGATACAATTTGTTCGTTCAATGGGATATTATCTTATCCAAATTTATATTCCATCTGGCTTAATCGTTATTATATCATGGGTATCGTTTTGGTTAAATCGCAATGCTACTCCAGCTAGAGTTGCCCTAGGTGTAACAACTGTATTAACTATGACCACGCTCATGTCATCAACTAATGCCGCGCTACCAAAAATATCGTATGTCAAGTCCATAGACGTGTACTTGGGAACCTGTTTCGTCATGGTCTTCGCAAGTTTATTAGGTAAACCACCCTTTTTTTAACTATTATTGCACTGCGATGTTCTTTTGAAACTGCGAATGCGATTTTTTTTTCTTATATAGGTTAACTTTATTTTATTTAATTAGGTTATAGTGGTTAACGTAAAAATGAAACAAATGTTTCCAAATGAATGCGTTGCGAATTTTTGTATTTGAAGATTTTACACTTTTAATTTAAAATATTTGTCTTTTAATACAAAATGTAAAAAATAGGTTTAAATACAGGTGACATTTCCTCTACTTATAGAATATGCTACGGTGGGATACATGGCAAAAAGAATACAAATGAGGAAACAACGATTTGTAGCTATACAAAAAATAGCTTCTGAAAAAAAAATTCCTGTGGATTGTCCAGCTGTTGGAGACCCGCACACGCTTTCTAAAATGGGTACTATGGGTAGATGTCCTCCAGGGCGACCATCGGTAAGATTTCAATAAGATATTTTAATTTAACATTTGTAAATTTTATAACAATACCTTTGGGCGACATTTTTCAGGAGGTTCGATTTAAAGTCCATGACCCTAAAGCGCACTCTAAGGGCGGCACACTAGAAAATACGATTAATGGTGGCAGAGCAGCTGAAGAAGAAAATCCTGGTCCACCTCCTCATATTCTTCATCCTGGAAAGGTAAATTTTCATACACCTGTTACTGCTGTGCTTATTATATAAAACTAATGCCACCGTTGCGTAATCGTCGCTCAGCGAACCAATAATATAATGTAAAATATGTATGTTAAACACTGCATGATGTGTATACTTTCAACAAATATCAAAAATTGCTGTAGCGAAAGAATTGATTTATAGGTTTAATTAAGCCGCATTGGCTTATTGCCTTGAACACAAGAGTCAAAATATTTTAAACCAATTTGGTCTTGAGGCGATATTGATTTGTGGTGCATTAGTTGTATCAGTATACTTATTTTGTTTCAGGATATAAGCAAACTCCTGGGTATGACTCCATCAGACATCGACAAATACTCACGCATCGTGTTTCCAGTTTGCTTCGTGTGCTTTAATCTAATGTATTGGATAATTTATCTTCACGTATCAGACGTCGTGGCTGACGATTTGGTTCTACTGGAAGAGGATAAATAGAGGGTGCTTTTTATGAGCCACTTATTTTTTCACTATTACTATTTGAATAATAATTTGAAACAAAATTTTCGACATTATAAAATTCTAGTAGCTAATAACTAAACGTGGAAATATAGCTACAATAATCATTAGTATTACTGATATCATTTGAGAATGAATTTATATACATATAGCTTAATATTAGATGTTAAATTTAATTTAAAACTGATTGCGTAAAAGTAACTAAAGTAAAAGACTAAACAACATGAGTTATCAAAAATGTTTTGAAGTCCGTAAACTAGTATAATAAATGAAAATAGTGACGTACGTAAGTACCCTGATAAACCAATTTTCTCAAGAAAAAAAATGAATGTCAAGCGATATTAAATGTATGGCATTTTATGTACATATAAATATAATTTATGCATAGTAATAGAGACAAAGATATAATATAATATGAGTATAGTTCTATTAAAAGTATTGACTCAATAAATTTCTAAAATATATTATTCTGAAATTTTTAAAATAATATCTATTAAAAGCCAGTAGTAAAAATCAAAATGCTGGAGTTTCAAATTGTTATTCTTCATGTGGCAAAATGAGTGGAGGTGACACAAAAATATCTTGTAATATAAATCTGATGCTCAACTAATTCTGCTTGAATTTTTAGAATTAATAGAGTTTTTACTGACATGTTAATTAAGTTAGATGTTTGTTTATTTTTTGCAATATTTCATATTGTTGTGATATAAATATAAATTTATTTTATTATAGTTGCAAACAATTATAATAATGTTAACAATTTAATTTTAAGCTTCATGTTGTAATTTCATATTTTAATTATTACTTCTTATAAAAGCCAGTAATTTTGCTTTGCATCGATGAATGCATGTGGATTGACTTTATTTTGTGACTTTCTCATTTTACCATAAGCCAATTACAATTATTTAAAACAATTAACATTAAGTACTACTACATTTCCATTAACAGACAGTTAACGTTATATAATAACTTTTAATTTCGTCATACCAATGCATTTTTTATTTCAATGCATGCAGATTTTATTCTTAGATCTGTATTTTTGAAAAATCAAGCATGAAATTCTCCTTTGTTTAATGCTGTATTTAGAGGTAAACAGTTTATATTCTTTTATTAAAAAATGTTAATTGACCTTTGTATACAACTATTCTAATAAGTTGTATATATATATATATATGCTTCTAATAAACTAAGCACAGTGATCCTGTAGCGTCTCGTTTTAAATTCTCCAAAATCAAAAGTTCAGTGTTTAGAATGAATTTTACATTAAAATACTACCATTAGGATTTTCAATGCCAATATATCATTTTTACTGTCACGTCGCCAAATTTTCAACAATTTGCACGTGATTATATTATAAAAGTAACTGAACTTTCTAGTATACTCTATTTTGTTCATTCTAAATCATATGTTCACAAATATGAATGTAAAAAATGACAAGACAAAAAATTAAAGCAGCAATGAAAAATCCGATAATATCGATTTAGAACATATTATTTTATGCAGAATCATCTGACTGAGGGATTTGTAAATATAACAAAATACTTAGTTTGTAGCTGTAAATTAATATATGTCAAATAAAAAACCAACATAAAGGGGAATAAGAATAAACAGTTGATGTTTACGAGTAGAATCAAATTACTGATATTATCCATTTAAAAACTATTTGTTCAAATCGTTGCCTTTTTTCTTCCAAAAATGCTGTTTCTTTATATTAGACTAGACCATCACAGTAGAAATGCAATGCTTTTCTTAGTTAAAATTAGATGAATTGACTTTCTTTTCTCGCTAGTAAATTTGAAAAAGCTCCTGTAGAAACGCAATACATTGAGCATTGGAACTTTATTATTGCTGTTAACTTGGGAAGTACATTCATAGATCATCTTGTATTAAAAGAAGATTACTTCTATAATATAAGAAGTATGAATGAATCTTCCCACTCTAACAGTTCTTACCCTCGTTATCTGAGGCGCAGGGCTCCTGTCATCAGCTACGATATAATTTTTGAAATATTTTGAATATTGTTACTTCAATATGGGTTCCATATGCTTATCTAGCTTAGATATTTATATCATATATTCCTTAGTTTTTTGAGACAATATTAATTAGTAAATAATACACTGCCATTTCAGTGAACACCAAAATATAGAATATAAAAACACTTTACATTTGTAAATATTGAAATACTTAAAATGTGAAAAAGAAACCTGAAAAAAGCTTCTGTAATGGAACCCATTTATTCCACATTTTAAAAATTTAACACTGCGCATTAAAAAGGTATAATTCTGTGACCATCCTAATCACTAGTTTGACAAACATGGTTTCATATACTTACAAGTTAAATTAATTTCATTTTATAAGATTTATTAAATAGATGTTTAAAGGTATAGTTTAGTGAACATAGCATAAAATATTTATAATTTTGAAAATGTTATCTTATATAGTTTAAGAATTAAGCAGAAATATAAATTTTAGCATATTTATATTTTAGAATAAATCAATTATATTATATACACTTTAGATCATGATTAAAATAGAATGAATATAATACCTGCACTCATATATAACTGCACTGTAATCTGTGTATTCACATTTAATTTTAAATGCAATTAACTACATATTATATTCTAAATTATATATAGCAAAATGACATTATTGAGTAAGATTCGCCGTTAGTATTTTGATCTAGGTACTACGACGCAGCCTCAGCTTCGTGACGAAACGAAATTCTAAAATAATTGTTTAGTGATTAGTAACTAAGTGCGAAACAAATAGTTTTAAGATATTTATTAAATAATATTTAATTAAGGAAGCACATTCAGTCAAGTCACAAATTACTTTTTTTTTCAATTAGGTAGTTTATATAGTCGATACTTTATTTCCTATTGTATAATTTCATAACTTTGTGTGTGATAATACTATTTACTTAATATTAAAACAGTAAATCTTCCAAAATTAAATATATTATTTTAATACGTTATAGACTTAGGATAATGACGCCAATTTAATTTAACGCCTGAGGCACGAGTACACCAACATAACAAGAGCAATAACTTGTGAATATATTTTTAAAAACCATAATGAAGTTGGTTTTTAAAAAAAAACACATTTTTTTAAATTAATAGTTGTCAAGAAGTTGCCTTAAATCCACCTAGTTGGAAAAACGTTCATTATAATATTATGTTATAATTAGATAAAATAACATTTTTAGTACCATTTATAGAACTTGTTCACTAAGGAGTATTCTTAGAATATGTATGATATTATTAACAATCTTATGTTTCTAATTCAAATATTGTTGAGTATTTTATTGAAATTTTATACCGTAAAACTACATTATTATTTGAAGAGACGCTAGATTAAAGCTATTACATGTAGTGCAAATGCATGATATATGTAAGATAAGATAGCACTCCACACAAAAGGAAAATTTATTATTACCGCGTTCATAATGAAAAATAATTGCTAGTTATAATTAATAAGTATTACAAAACGAAAAAAGTTATTTAGTAAACTGCCATATACTGATATGACAGAGTTCTGTGCTGAGTTTTGCGTTTTATAACTATGTTTAAATTTTTTTAATTACATATATTACACATTTAGAAAGCGTTATTTTTTAGTAATTTCTTAAAGTTTTTTTTATTATAAAAACCCTAACAACTGTATTTATACTGCAATTTTATATCTTTTCAACAATCAAAAATAACATTTGTCGTATATTGAATTTAGGAGGTTGTTTATTATTTTGGCATAATGACATTTGATATAAATCGTTTAGTTTCCTGTTACAGCAATATAATTAACAACCAAAAATAATTCTGTTACTAAGCTAATAATAAAAGTGAGAAATAGGTATGTAGTTATGAAAACAGAAACACCAAAGTTAAATTTGATAATTTATTTGAAGACAAAATGTGAAACTAGACCTTAAAGTGAAATAGATATAGAAAAACCTATAAATGTTATAATTTTTTAACAGAATGCTCAAATCAAAATTTATAATTAAGAAACTATTTTGATATTTCTAAATATGATTTAAGTACTTGTGAACTTTCATAACTGAAAACTATAAAATATAGAAGTAAAATAAAATACGGTGATCGACCATGGCGTATTATGACCGTAATAACTTTTGAAGCCTACACAATGGCCCTTAGCTGTTGGCCATTGAGCAAGTTCCAAGTCTCTAAGCGAGCTATAGAGAAGTCGACCGCCTAGATCGATCCAAGCTTGAATGTTTTGATTTGGAGTAAATCAAATGAATTTCACTATGATATGTTTGGCATAAACAAAATCTTTGTTTCGACTAGATATTGCTTTCCGTTTAAGTGGCATATATTTTTCTTACTTAAACATTCCATAAAATAAAATCGTCTATTCTAAAATAAATGGCTCAATTATATATAGTAACTTGAAATATATTGTTACAAGAGTAGAGAAGGCTTAGATCTCTAGATATCATGCTGAGTTAGTGTACAAAATAACCAAAATCAATATCGGCAACATTAAATCATAATTTAGGCATATTTTTACGACTTAATGTAGTATTATTTTGACTATACATAAACAGACTAATGGACGCCATACTCGGTCAGTTAAAGTGATCATTCCAACTAATCAGTTTGAACTAAAACTGTTGATATTTTTTTAAATATCGGGTTTTCGATATATCGATCGTTATAAATATATTAATATAAGTAACAGACCGTGTGTGATGTCCATTAGATTTATTAGTTTTGTAACATTTGAAAACTGTTGCAATGCAAATAAATACAACTGACTAACTTACAAACTGTCGAGACTATTTTTCTTTTACTAACATTTTTTAATAAATTATTAGTGTTATCATCTTCCTGAAATAGTTTTTTCAATATTTTATTATTCTATATTTGTTTCTGTTTTTTATAATTATAATGATTTAGTATTAGTTTTTTCATCAAAACCAAATAGTTACCTCATAATATAATTGAAATAAATAT